TTATTTAGTAGAGATTAAAAAAAGCCACATGTTGTGGTTCGAACCCAGATAATCAATATTTAACTAAATTCAGCACAACATCTACACTACCAGACCACAACTCTTCTATTGAAATAATTTTTCACAAGTGCATATTGACAAAGTTTTACTCGAAAGCTAAAAATCCTCAACAACGTTGTACAGCCATAACTTTGTGTTCCAAAATCCAAACGTCATGAAATATTTTTTTGATTCCACATAACTTTTCAAGTACTACAACTTTTATCATAGCCATAATTTCGGAATGTACATGGATTCGTGAAAATTAAAGGTAAAGTTATTCCCAAGATCCCGTATATCCAAAACTAATTACTATTTTGAAAATTCCATCCTATTAAAACTTGTGGTGGATCAAATCGCCTATGGCCATTTGCGGCTTGCAAGATCCCGAAAAGTTATGCAGAATCAATTTTTTTTTTGCTACTATCGGATACCCGAGTACAAAGATACGTTCGTTTGAAGTTGTCACCTAGTTTAGCATTGGATCAAAATTTTTTTACCCAAACTGTTTGGAGCGGTTTGCTAACAAACTGCCATGGCCCCATGCGGTAAGTAAAACTACTCCCCTACCCGTGTGGTTTTCGTCGAGAACCGCGCCCTCACCCAGTAGTTTTCGAGAAAGGGTGGTATTTTTGAAATTTTTTGAACATGGTGGTATTTTTTCATTTTAGTGTTATTTCTGGAAAATAATCCTTATATATGAGGCCCGAAAAAGTTGAGGCCCTGTGCTGTGGGTCTGACCAGCACAAGGCCTGGGCTAAGCCTGATAAAGATAGAGGAATTTTACAATGTTATATAGCATTGGTGCTATAGATTTTTGCATTTATGATACAACTTGAAGTTGTAACTTTAACGTTATGGTATAACTTCATATTGTACCTATACACTTTGTATTTTTAAGTTGTACATTAAATCACAATTCTCATAAAGATAATCATTTTTTAAACTAAACTAACTAACAATAGAAAATGAGGATACATAATATAAAAAGTTTTAACTATTAATTGCATAATGAGATCTAGGGATAATATGAATCTGTTTTAATTTTTTGGTGTGATTGTGGCTAGATGTTCCGGGTTTGAGTTTATGAAAAGATTAATGGGTTTTAATGAAGAATGAATTTTTGGATTTTCTCTATATGTTGTGTGTTGGCTGAAGAAATGATAACTGTGGCTTTCTGGAATGTAAATGCAATAGAAAGGATTGAACAACAATCAATTTTCCTCCCCGTTCCTTCATTCTTTTGTATCACCTTTATATAATCTAAAACAACACCTTACTACAACTCTTCTTCAATGACCACCTAACTTGCATCTTCTTATCAAATTATCTCCCCTTTCCCACAATGATTCCAACAAAAATAATAATATCTCATTTTTCTCCAGTTTTTGCTTCAATTTCATAACAAAGATAAAACTCGTATAAAAAATATCAATCCATGAATGTTGTTCCCTGTAGGTCTATTTCCTTGATATCTTCACTTAGGTTAAAAAGGTGTTTATTGCGATGTTCCCATAAAGGTCTCTTCCACTAGACCATTTCCAAACTTGATCGTTAATCTTCCACTATCATATTGTCAAGAATAATACAAAGCAATATAATCTCACAAACTCACACGGTGTTTCCATAAAAGATTAAACAATAGCCGATTTTCCTCCCCTTCCTGTCATTCTTTTGTGTCACTTTTATAGAATAAAAAACACCTTACTACAACTCTTCTTTCATGACCACCTATTCTTTCTTAATTTTTTCTATCCTTTCCCACAATGATTTCCACCAAAAATAATAATCTCTCCTTATTTCTCTAGTTTTTCCTTCATTTTCATAACAGAAATAAAATTCGTTGCATAAAAAGATCAATCCATAAATGTTGTTCCCTGTAGGTCTCTTACCTTGATATCTTCACTTAATTTAAAAAGGTGTTTATTGCGATGCTACCACAAAGGTCTTTTACTACACCATTTCCAAACTTGATCGTTGATCTTCCACTATCACATTATCCAGAATAATACAAGTTAATATAATCTCACACGGTGTTTGCACATCTAAAAATGACGCGTCCCTCTGACAATGACTCATCTATGTTATAGTATGTCAAAAGCCCTCTCAACATCCTTGCGGTAAGTCTCTTTGTACTTAGCAAACAACATCTTTTGTCGTACTTGGATTGCTAATAGTCGTTACAAATGTAGTCCACTCAAGGTGAATTCCATCAATCAAGTAATAATATAGATCGTACATCTTACCATTGACCTCATAACTAAACTAAAAAATAAATAATTTGAATGTTTGATCGAAAAGTTGAGATATTCCAAAAGCATTGATGTCATTGTTAATCCAAGAGTTCCAAAGAAGGCATGACATATCCATGTTTCGTACCATGCTATATCTTCGAGGACTACGGTTGGTTTCTTTTTGAGTCTAGTGTATTGGCATGCACACGTAGTCATACAACTCTTTCACTCCCAGTGCATGGAGTCAATTAAACCAATCATACACGACAAGCCACGTTGTGCACTATGATCAAGGACATGTCGTAGATCTTCCACTGTTATAGCACACAAGTAGTGAGTACCATAAATATTGGTGATGGCCGAGTAAAAATTCTCCAAGCACTCCAATGAGCATCCATATGCAAGCATCCGGAAAGTACTAGTAAGATTTTGTTGTGATGAGATGAGTCACGACCTTCAACATCTTTTCTTTGCATGAAGAATGCATCATATTGGACAATACTATTCATGAAAGTGTTGAATAAGATAGGGCCCCCCGATATTATCTTGTAAATGACGTAGCATCTTAGGATGGATTTGGGTTGAAATAATCTTGCATCAAACGCTTGTGACCATCTTCCCTGTTACGCCTAACTGATTTTCGTGATAATGAACATTGACGAGATGATGTTTCTTGTTATCAGTGCACGAGGGTTCCGTACATCATGAACATCTCTGCATGTTCACACTCAAAGTGACACTCATACTCGCATGCATTTGTTATCATCAACTTGTCTTTACCTCTCATAAGTTTCTCTTTGCCTCACACAAGCTCTTTATCAGGGAAATCCAAGAAGCAAAAATTTGTTAAATTTTTGCTAGAGAAATGTAAGGTTGAATTGTTTTTTCAAGAATGAAGGCTGGATGGTGGATGACTAGAATGACCAAGGTTGATAGTTCATTTAAAGAATCGCGACTGAGTTAAAGAGAAGTTGATGATAACAAAATTTGTGGGCTTTCCTGGGTACAAAATTTAAAATTTGTGATCTGGGCAATCTCTATTTCTTCTTTGGTTTAGATTTCCATATCAAGGGAGGGTTTACATATTTTCAATAAAAGGTATTGCACTGATCTGCTACAGGACACTTGATTTGCAAATTCCAAACTAGTAGTTACTCTCATTGATAGTAAAGCGTACTACTTATCAACATATAACAGTCGAGTGACTTCGTCCTCGGTACAAAATTTAAAATTTGTGATATGTGAATAATACTTGGATTGTATTTTGCCCATTTATGTGTCTAGCAAGTTTATTCATAATGTTTCTTCATAATCCTACTGAGTTGTATAAAATCAACCAGGCATCTGTGTAAGATTACCGTATTTATGATTTGTGGATATGTTTCTTACCTTTTTCATATCCTTCATCAGGCTATTTTGATTATGCATCTCCCTGTTCAGTTCAGGAAATTGAGCTTGAAGGATGAAGGGTGGTTTGGTGATTATCTTGTCTTGTTTATTTTATTTTTTACCTCGATTTCCCCCTTATTTCTCTGGGACTTGCATGTTTTATTCTGAAAAATTGGTTTCTGATCTTGTCTATTTATATCAGCTAAGAGAGGCGAGAAGGGCGTTCATTTGCTTGCATCCCTCTATTAGAAGTATGATACATCAGAGGATGACCTCAAGCAAATGATGGAGAAGACCTATAGTTTAATAGCAGAGATCTTGAAGGTACAACCTCAGGTGGCCTCTGAGTGTGAAAGTGAAAGTTTGATAGACATTGATACAGGTACTTCGATGTTGTTTATTTGTAGCTTAGATTCTTAGCGTATAAGGAATACCAGTCTATTCTTACTATGATACTTATAAAGGCTGGTTTTCATCCATGCAGAGGGTTTGATATATTACAAAGGTTTGATGGAGGAATCTTGCCTGAAAACAAGTTTGAATACCTTGGAGAAGGATTACAATGAGGCACTCCATCAGAACGGTGATCTGGATGAGAGAATTTTCATCGACGAGGATGATAGCTTACTTGGTTCAGGAATTGCATCTGGGAGTACCAACGATAATTTAACGGGAACTAAGGTGAGTTTTTGTTGTTGCAGAGTGCTCATTCCTTCAAACAAACGTGTACTAACTTAGCTTTTGAGTGCTTTGTCTTTTTGTACTGTGATCTTCACTAATTACTGCTCTTGAGTTTGTTTCGTGTAGAGAAAATTTGATTCAACATCTTCACCAGCAAGAATGATGACACACCCACTTTCTCCTTTCCGTTCTCCTCCGCCTGGAAGTCTATCTGGTGCAGTCTCTAGGATGGCTCCGACACCTGTAACCGCAGCAATGACAACAGCAAAATGGCTCAGAACAGTAGTATCTCCATTGGGGCCTAATCCATCTCCAAAACTGGGGCGCTTCCTTGCATCATGTAATAGGGATGTGACAAATGAGGTGGTTCGAAGAGCACTGATAATATTAGAAGCTATATTCCCGAGTAGTGCTCTGGGAGAACGTTGTTTGACTGGAAATCTCCAGACTACTAACCTCATGGTCAACATATGGGCAGAGCAAAGAAGATTAGAAGCTCTCAAACTATAGTACAGGGTTTTGGAGGCAATGTGTATTGCAGAGGCCCAAATATTACATTTGGCTAATCTGGCATCTTTATTGACCAATGAAAGGTTCCATAGATGCATGCTTGCATGTTCTGCTGAACTAGTTTTGGCGACACATAAGACTATTACGATGTTGTTTCCTGCTGTATTGGAGAGAACTGGCATTACAGCTTTTGATCTCAGCAAGGTGATAGAGGGTTTCGTCAGGCATGAAGATTCTCTTCCTAGAGAGTTGAGGAGGCATTTAAATTCCTTGGAAGAACGACTTTTGGAGAGTATGGTCTGGGAAAGGGTTCTTCATTGTACAATTCTCTCACAATTGCAAGACCTGGATTTTCTGCTGAGATCAGTCGCCTTGAGCTACTGGCAGAGCCCATGCCATCTCTGGATGCGATTGCCATCCACATGAACCTTTCTTCAGCAGGCCTGCCACCCATTCCTGCTTCACAGAAGCATGAGAATTCTACAGGCCAGTTTTACTCTTGTTTTCTTAGCTTCCAAGCAACTCAAGGGTTTACTATATTCAAGTTAGGTGCATATAATCATGTAGTGGTTCAGCCTAACATCCATTTCACATTATTTCAGGTCAAAATAGAGATATTATGTCTCCAAAGAGACCTTGCACAGAGTACATGAGTGTTTTAGTAGAGCGGAATTCCTTTACATTACCAGTAAAAGATCGCTTACTCGCCCTCACTAATCTTAAGTCAAAGCTTCCACCGCCTGCACTGCAATCTGCATTTGCCAGGTGATTATTGTGAATTATATAGTAAACTACCCGTTTGGATTAATGTTATGCTCTTCTTTTTATCTGAAAAATCTTTGGTTGATATTGTTCAAGTCCAACCCGTCCAAGTCCTGGAGGAGGAGGTGAAACATGCGTCGAAACAGGGATCGACATATTCTTTGGCAAGGTAATTGGGACATACCTTTCTCTATTCAGACTACCTAATATATCCACCTAAAGAGATAATTGGCCTGTACTACTTCCCGGTTTCTTTTTCTAGAAATGACTACCGGGTATTTCTTGTTATTTCCTGACTACGTTTGTCCCCATGTTGGGATTGCCTTAGATCAATAAGCTGGCTGTTGTCAGAGTCAATGGCATGATTGAAAGGCTCCAACAGTCACAACAACACATAAGAGAGGATGTATACAGTCTATTTCAGCAAGTACTCATCCAACGCACATATCTCTTCTTTAATCGCCACATCGACCAAATCCTCCTTTGCTGTCTCTACGGAATTGCCAAGGTTTGGCGGCTGTTACATTAGCTACTGAAAAGACAGTATCTTGAAATCACCAGAAAGAGGCGAAAAACTAGGGTTCGACGAGAAGGAAGAGAAACAGAAATGAAGATTTCTGGAAATGGGAAGAGAGAATTACGATATGTATCTAGGAGACTGAAACTGAGTTAAAGACTGGGCCTGGCTAATTTGACAACAGCCCACTAAGAGAGATAAGTACAACTCACTGATTCCTTAAGGCCAAGCTCATTAAGCCCACCCACTTTACTCTAATACTTGTCTTCTTCCTTGAGAAGCAGAGTTTCAGAAGCAGGGGAATAATTCAGAGCAGAGGAGGAATCAGAAAGAGAAGGAAGAAAGACACAACAACAAATCGAAAAACACAACCAAGTTCAACGAGGTTCCCAATCTACTGGTCACTCCTCGTCCTAGACTCAATACTTCACTGATGCCTAGGAGACTCTTTTTATTTGATTTTTCCTATCAAGCAACTTGACGCAAAAAACGACACAAAGTAACAACGAAAGAGTATTTAACCCGGATCCCAATTCTAGACCCGTTACACCGTTAATCAAACAGAACCTCTTCCTCTGTTGATTAACCCAGATTGTAAGCATCCCTTTTCCACCCTTACAAAAAGTGTCGAGCTTAGTTGAAGAACTTGAGCATATATAGCCATCCGCCCATTTTTTACCGTTGCACTTGAAATAAAATGCGAGATACAAAAGGTAGCTCTGAGCTGTCTCTGGCCGTCTACTTTCCTTCTTAAGAGCAACTCTGATTTGGTAACTTGGTTCTACAATCTCCCCTTAAATCAGAGATTGTTGATTGCGTGCAAAAAGAACACACCTTCTCTCGACCAAACTTATAAACACATAATCAATATCCATCAATCAACAAGGCCAAAAACAGCCAGAAGCCAGTCACATCAAAATCCAGAAATAGAACATCGTCCGACATCCAACACGAACAACCAGCAATTCATTGGTTGTGTTGACACTGTCTAGTTGACATTATCTCCTGTTCAGAAAACTTGACAGTAGCATTAGTATCGTTGAATTTAACATGAACTGACTCTTTCACCTTCTTAGTTCGCTTGTTATAGATACGATAAGCCGATCCTTTAATGGAGTAACCCAGGAAAACAGCCTCATCAGACTTGGTATCAAATTTACCTAGATACTCCTTAGTATTGAGGACAAAACAAGGGCACCTAAAGGGATGAAAATAGCCAATGTTAGGTGCTTTATTTTTGAAAATCTCGTAGGGAGTTTTCATTAGACCTTTTCGAACAAGCACACGATTTAGAATGTAGCAGGCTATGCTGACTGCTTCAGCCCAGAAAAATTTTGGCAGGTTATATTCAAGAAGCATGGTACGAGCACATTCAATAATAGTACGGTTTTTCCTCTCGACAACTCCATTTTGCTGGGGAGTGAGAGGAGCTGAAAAACTATGAGCTATCCCAGAGTCATTACAAAAACTCTCAAACTCTTCAGAAACGAACTCAGCACCATTATCACTTCTTATATTCGTAATCTGACATGAAAACTGTTTGACAAAGACTTGAAAATTCTTTACTGCCTCATCTTTGTGAGTTAGAAAGAAAACCCAAGTATACCGAGAATAGTCATCAACCAGAACTAAGACATAGTTTTTACCTCCCAAGCTGGTCACATTACATGGACCAAACAGATCCATGTGAATCAGCTCAAAGACCTGTTGGGAAGTTATATCTGACTTAGGCTTGAAAGACTTCTTAGTATGTTTACCAGCAACACAAACCTCACAGAAGAAGTCAGTTTTTTGTTCTACCAGGGGAACACCTCTGACACACTCTGATTTAGACAAACTCACAAGTTTAGGTAAGCTAATGTGTCCCATTTTTCGATGCCACAGTAGCTCCGGTTGATATGAGGCAACAAAGCACATTTCATGAAAGGCTTCAAGATTGTGCATATCTATAACATACATATTGTTAACACGATTTCCTACAAGAAGAATCTTGTTATCATTTATCCTCTCAACAAAGCAAGCATCAGACTTAAAAACAACACGATTTCCGTTGCTACAAAGTTAACTTATTGACAAGAGATTGTGCTTTAGACCTTTCACAAGTAGCACATCACGAAATGTAGGATAAGGAAATCCTCCTATGGTGACAATTCCCACAATATGACCACATCCATTATCACCAAAAAGAACCTTACCACCATTTTTAGGAGTTAGAGAAGAGAACAGTTTTTCCTTACCAGACATGTGGTGCGAGCACCCGCTGTCTAAATACCATTTATGCTCACTCTCATCTGAAGAATTGTCCTTTGATTGATTTGTGATTGCCATAAAAGCTTCCTCATCTGCTGAATTTTCCTCTACTTCCGAGTCATAGTCACTCCAGGAAACCTTCATAGCTCTTTCCTTGGCCTTCAAGGTCAATGGACAATTTGCTCGAATATGTCCATTCTTACCACACTTTTAACAAGCTTGTGGTTCTTTTTCCTGAACACCTGTCTCAAATCTCCCGGTCTGCACCGGAATGGGAAAAACCACCAAAGCTGCGGGCTTTGCATAAGGCAGCTTAGCTTGAGAGTAGTTATTAGTATAATCCCGCCCTTGTTTTTGCGATTCATCAGTTTTCAGTTTTCTTTCATTTTTATATTTCAGCATATGATGAAATCTCTTGCTAACAAGAGCAAATTCTCTGTTAAAATCTGACTCTGAATCACTATCAGACTCCTGAGTAATAACTTTGGATTTAAAGCCAAAATTTTCTTTCTCTTATCATCGTCCTGATTCACCTGTTTAATCACATTTTTGTGACTCAGTAAAGACCCAATTAACTCGTTTATAGGTAGGGTTGCTAGATTTTTTGCCTCCTCGATAGCAGTACGCTTGGGTAGCCATTCCTTAGGTAGCGACCTAAGAATCTTTCTATTAAGGTCTTTAGTTTGAAAAGCTCTTCCTAACCCGTTCAACTTATTGATCAACACATTGAATCTTGAGTACATTTCATGAATACTCTCATTATTTAGCATACCAAAAGCCTCATATTCATGAACTAATAAATTAATCCGAGATTTCCTAATATTCGACGTACCTTCATACGTGCTTTCCAGATTTCTCTGGCTGTCTGACAGTTCTCAACTTGATCTGCTTCATCTGGATTCATGGCTGATTGAAGCACATGCATCGCTCGTTGATTCAGCTGTGCACTTTTCTTCAGTGCAGCAGACCACAGATGTTGCTCTTCCACTTTAGCATCGATCGGCCCATCCTGTACAATCAACCACAAGTCTTCATCAATACCCCACATGAATGGTTTTATCCTCTTCTTCCACGCGGTATAATTTGAACCGGTGGAAATTGGAGGATGATTTAATGCCGCTTGGCTGAAAGAAGAAGAAGCCATTTGATCTTTGCCTTGGCATGAACTACCTTCCTCAAGGACCAGCTCTGATACCAATTGAAATCACAAGAAAGAGGCGAAAAACTAGGGTTCGACGAGAAGGAAGAGAAACAGAAATGAAGATTTCTGGAAATGGGAAGAGAGAATTACGATCTGTCTCTAGGAGACTGAAACTGAGTTAAAGACTGGGCATGGCTAATTTGACAACGCCCCACTAAGAGAGATAAGTAAAACTCACTGATTCCTTAAGGCCAAGCTCATTAAGCCCACCCACTTTACTCTGATACTCATCTTCTTCCTTGAGAAGCAGAGTTTCAGAAGCAGGGGAACAATTCAGAGCAGAGGAGGAATCAGAAAGAGAAGGAAGAAAGACACAACAGCAAATCGAAAGAACACAACCAAGTTTAACGAGATTCCCAATCTACTAGTCACTCCTCGTCCTAGACTCAGTACTTCACTGATGTCTAGGCGACTCTTTTTATTTGATTTTTCCTATCAAACAACTTGACGCAAACAACGACACAAAGTAACAACGAAAGAGTATTTAACCCGGATCCCAATTCCAGACCCATTACATCGTTAATCAAACAGAACCTCTTCCTCTGTTGATTAACCCAGATTGTAAGCAACCTTTTTCCACCCTTACAAAAAGTGTCGAGCTTAGTTGAAGAACTTGAGCATATATAGCCATCCGCCCATTTTTGACCGTTGCACTTGAAATCAAATGCGAGATACAAAAGGTAGCTCTGAGCTGTCTCTGGCTGTCTACTTTCCTTCTTATGAGCAACTCTGATTTGGTAACTTGGCTCTACATATCTTACTTCGTTTTTACTCATATTTCGATCATGGAGATATAATTGCGTTTTACAATGAAATTTTCGTCCCTGCTGCGAAACCTCTGCTCGCAAAAATTAGTTCAGCTGGAACAAGTACAAAAGCTGATCGAGGCATCGAGATCAATAGTAAAGAAGATGTTATGATTTTCGTAGAAGCTTCATTCACTGGTAAAAATTCTGTTTTGTTTGATGTTTATTATTTCTTTGCTCTCTCTCTCTATTTTCTGGTGGGAAATCAGGTCAATGTCCAGCATCACCTAAAGTATCTCCATTTCCAAGCCTCCCTGATATGTCCCCAAAGAAAATATCAGCGGTTCATAATGTCTACGTCTCTCCACTGCGAACTTCCAAGGTACTAAAAAATCCATGATGCATCAGCACAAGTCTACTGCTTTGTACCATGAAAGTGAGGTTCCAAGACTTCCATTCGGTGCTTGAATCATGAATGCTTGCTTTTCGTAGGCTAGGTCTGATTTCATTGATAGCATGATTCGTATTCTGGATGGACTGCTTGAGACCTTACTATGAACTTTGTTTCTGCTTAGATGGATGCTTTGGTATCACATGCTTCCAAAAGCTACTATGCTTGCGTTGTTGAAAGCACTCATGCTTATCAGAGCCCATCCAAAGACCTGGCTGCCATCAACAACCGATTGAATGGGTAATACTATTACGTTGCTTGCTTCCAGTCATACTTTCAAAGTCATATATTTTCTCTTCACTGTACTAAATTCCAACTTGCTCTCAACTTCTTTTTGGCTCATCCAGCAACGGGAAGGCAAAAATGTCACTTGCATTTGATGGTGCTGATGTTGGACTGGTGAGTGATTCCATAGTGGCCAACAGCCTCAACCTTCAAAATGGAGATCATACAACATCCACAGGCGCTCTTTTGAAAACCGAGCAACCTGAATCTTAAAACCTGTTTGGTCTGCTGCACTTGGGGCTCTCTACTGTAAATTCGCTAGTTTGTCCACCCGGGTGCTTCTGTTAGTTTTTGGTTACTGTAACTACGGCGACAGTAGTAAGGCCGGGGGAGATGAGGTATGAGCGGTTGAGTTTATTGTTGTAGAGTGGCCGCCACCATCTTCTCCTGTGTTTTCATCTTACTGTTAGGTAGAGATTAACGTCTTGATTTAATAAAAACTATACTTTAAGCGCTCATAAGATCCAGCTGTTTGTAATTTATGTCTAGTGCTTACTTAAGCAGTGAGCTACTAACTTTGATATCTCTGTCTGAACCACCTCTCTGTTTCCATGTCTATGCAAGCACAACCCGATTAATGTAGGTAGGGGTGGGAGGACCAATGTCTGTGGTCTAGGCTGAGAGGCTAGAACACATAGAATGGACCATACCATATAATATATGGTTCATACAAGATCACGCAAGTGCGGTTTGTAGGGATGTCAATTCAACCCATAACCATGGGTACTCTACCCGATCGTAATTGGTTAACGAGGGTAGTTACCCGCTTTGACGGGTTAAGGGGCGGGTATGGGTAATACCCGGTTTCAAAATAAAGGGTAGGGTACGGGTATGGTAATCGATAATACCCGCCTCGTTATACCCACCCCGCTAACCAAAGCGTCAATTTCCCTTGAGAAATTTAGTTTAGCTTGAGAAATTGAGTTTAGCTACCATTATTGATGATGAAGATGTATACGATTATTATGTTTGTGTGGATTGTAGAAGCAAGAACAATTATTATGTTTTTATTGTTTTTATTTGTGTGGATTGTTGAAGATAGAACAGTTAGAAGTATTGAAAATTTTTAATGGACAACAGTATGTATGTGCATATATGTGTATAAGTTTATAGTTTAAGATTCGTATCCATGGTTACCCGAATACCCGTGGTTACCAGGTGGGTAGGGTATGGTTATATAATTTTCCTACCCGGTGGTTATTTGGTCGGGTATTTTAGAAGGCTCTACCCGGCGGGTTAGGAGTTGGTATAGGGTAAACCCGCACCCGACCCTACCCATTGCCATCCCTAGCGGTTTGGTTTGGACCAAGCAGACTATGTTAAAAAAAATCCACCTCTTATTTTACCCTCCAACCCTTTGTCGATATTTATAAAAATAAAAATTGTAGTGACCAATATGCTAGTGAAACAAAAATATAGTGATCGTAATTAAAATTGAAGAAATGTATGAAAGAAGTGAGCTTTTTCAATTTTCAAACTCTCTCTCTCTAGTCTCTACGCCTCTATCCAATCCATTTTCTTCATAACCATTGAAAAGTTGCTTGAAATCGAACCAACAGAACCTCTCCTATAGTAGTCCTTTTAGCTTTCAGTTTAGTTGTTGTTCTTCCTTTGTTAGTTTCGTTAACATTAAGACCTAAACAGTTTGGTTTGACTCAGTAGTAGTTTAGATTCGAGTAGGGAAAGACCTAAAGGACATCGTGGAATACAACCTTATGCCGCTATAATACACCGTTTAACTAGGATGCACTTGATTTGGTTAAATGTAGTAGTGAGTAGAAGGCATTAAATTTTATGAATTGATAGAATTTTTCATCATTTTTTTTGTCTCATTTGTCTAGGGTTTTTTTCCGGTGCGATCATATCAGCACTAATAATGCAACGGATCCCATCAGAACTCCAAAATTAAATGTGATTGTTCAAGATTAGTACTAAGATGGGTGTCTAGGGCTTTTAGGTTATTACCAAATGCTTAGAATTACTTCTTTAGTTATGTTGTTTGTGTTTGTTGTATTTCTCCTTGTGTTTCTTTAACTGTTGTGTTCTTGTGTTTTTCTTGTTGTTACCACACCCTACTCTTTAAGGGTGGCTGTGTTTGTTTGTTTCTTTAGTGTTTATGTTCATACTTCTTGAAGATGAATCCCGATGACAACTACAACATGTGAGGGTGGCAATCAAAGTTACTCAAGTCAAGAGTTTGCATTTTAAGAACAAGATACCTTCTATCATCACCAACCACGTTCAATGGAAATCTAAGTTCCTACCACATTTCAAGATAGGCATCCTTCACAATCCAAGGAAAAATCCGAGTTAAAGCTCTTAATGGAGAGAATTGTAGCCGAGAGTGAGACGACATGCTACCTCCACAACTGCAGGCAAAAGAGCCAATCGGAACTTGCAGTGGAGAGCATCGTTATCTATTGTGAGCTATGATACTTGAAAACTAGTGTTTTCTTGCTATTTTCTTCGGAACATTTCCACTATTTTGATGCATCTTTAGTCATTCTACTATTGGGTCGTTTAGATGGATCAATTGTAAAATGATACAATTTGACCAATTGTTTCATTTTACAAAATGAGTTATTTAAAATGACTCAGTTCAGATTACCTCAGTCCCACCCCTGACAATTATAATTGGCTCAAAATGAGTCAATTCAATATTCCCCAACTAAATTGCTTCATCCAAATTTTCTGTTGCCAAACGGATCAATCTGACTCAATTGTCTCAAAACGAGACAATCTATCGAATTGAAGACAAATGTAGAATTGGGTCAAAATAGACTCTACCACAAACCAAGTAAACAAGCTGGATTTCACATTTCCAAAATCCAACATTGGTCCATGGCAGGTCTAGACCGCCATGGCCCACTAAGAAAACCAAGTAACCATTTTTTCATAGATGATACGAACCTCAAGCCCAGACCAATGCAAACTTCAGCTTATCATGACGATTATAAGGGAGTTGATGATAATTTAATTTTAGAATTTTACCCCTCCATAAGCTAACCCCTTAGACAAAAAAAAAAAAAAAAAAAAAACAATGCTAGAGCCTATAAATACATCTCTTAGCAACCATATTCTAATATCCTTGTATCCTTGATTTGAGGATCAATTTTATACTCCCACAATCCTAGTTTTGCAACCTTAGAAGGAGCTGACAACCCTAGACTACCACGAGGAAGAAGATAGGTTATATCTCTTATATGGTGATCATGTATATGCATTATGCTGCTTGTGGCTAGTACACCATTATTGTTAAGGTTAGTGGAACTGGCAGTGGTTTTAGTACTTCAGATTATGATTTGGATATATTTCTATTCAGTTTTTCTTTTTAATCTCGTTATTATGGCTTCTTTATTTTTGGATCTTAACTCAAGACAAAAATTTGTGGTTATTTTCTAAATCTAATGCAAGGGAGAAATCTTCGATTGATTATTGAGCAAGCATGTTCCAATATGGATATTCATTCCCTTCCTCTTGATTCAAGTTTTATGCAAGACTCTAATGAGTTGCTCAATAGGGTGGAAAAGCAAGGAGAACTACTTTACATCGTATAGATTAAACTTACTCTCCTTGTTTACATACAAGAAGAAGCATGAACAAGCAATGAAGAGGTTGTGAAGGAAAGCAAAGAAAAGGAGGGGTTTGAGGTTGGCAAAGGGGAAGAAGTTGTATATAAGGAAAGTGGAGTCCAAGAGAAGGTTGGGGTTGAGGAGTATGAAGATGTTATTAGGAAAAAGTCAGATCCAAGATTTGCAACCAATCTCAAGAAAATCCTTGAGTTGGACCCTTTTGCAGTGCTTCTTTGGCCAAAAAATATATTATACCGTTGACCCCTCTTAGTGGATACAACATCGGCCGTCCCATACTTCTACCATTGGATTGGGATTAAGAGAAGGAAGAGGCTACTAAGAAGGGTCCGGATAGAATAACAACACACTTTATGTTGTTATAATAACAACATGATTCATTAAGGATAAAAGGGTAAACTTATACTGAAAATATAATAAAATAAATTTGATTAAAATTTAAGTTCGCTTTAATCCCGCAGCAGACCTCATCTTCCTTCACCCATCGAGACCCTTCTTCCCCGCTGCTCCCTTCTTCCCTGCTGCCCAGCTTTTTCCCCGTCGTCCCTGCTTCTTCCCCGCCGTCGTCGGTGAAGGAATTGTTGAGGTTCCACTGATTCATCAACAAGAAGAGGATGGGCGGGCGAGGGTCGTCGCCGCCGACTTGCAGATCCAAGTGCGGGTCAACATCTCGATGACGGCGCAACCCAGATCCGAGATATTGCGCGGCGGCTTGTAGACATTATTGTTTATCGACTCCGGCGCCATGAACAGAGGAGTGCCCCGAATCTCCACCTTCCTCCCCGTTTTCACCAAGTCCAGAAGAATTACCCTGCTGCTGGGATTGTGTAAAGATGGTGGTGAAGAAGTGGCCAGAAGGCTGCTAATGAACCCTAGAAGCATTCCTTGTCTGCAGAGCTTGTCGAGCGATGGATCGTTGAAGGCGCGGCGGAAGGCTGATGCTTTGCTCAGGTTGTTGAATCGATGCTGCTCTCATTCGCAGCATTCTGTAAACATGGGGAATTGACTTGATTCGTAGATGAAGAAACTGTGAATTTGTTGTAATCTTATACATGATCTTAGGAGGAGAGCAACTGGATGATGTATTTTGCTGCTTTTGGTCTTGTCAGCAGACCCCAATCTTCATATTTTGTACTACTTTGTGTGCATAAAGGCGGGTGCCATCGAAGTAGTATTGACTTAGGAATGCAGGGTATTAGATGATAACCATGCTTAACTTTTGTATTTTGTATAGAGCATGTTGTGGTCATGAACCAAAGTAGAATGTAAAGAGCTTATCAGCTTAGGCTGCTTCTTCTGCATTTTTCACTTAATTACAAATCGCTTGGAGTTGTCACAGCGAGACTATTTAGTAAGGAATGAGGAAGTAGAGAACGGAGGAGGGGAAAATTGCAGGCGAAAGATGTCTGATGTTGTATTTGCTCCACCGAGGGAAAAGAATGGAGGGTTAGCGTGCAGCTATAGAGGTGGGTAGAAATACGACGACAAGGAGAAACCCAGGAAGAGCAAGCCTCCGATCGTGGAAACCGTCTTCTGCGAGATCTTGGAAGCCAGCATGCTCCCTCCTATAACTGCTACTGATGTGCAGATGGTGTGGCCTATTGTTGCGCCAACTGCAATGCCCACTGCGTTCTTGTGCGTGGCCAACTGCACAAGTCCAAAACTAGGATAAGACTTTTGCATCGATGGAGGAGAAGCATATAAGAGAGATTGAATTTTTTTTATCTTACTGCAATTGTTGCAATCTGGCTACGGTCACCCCACTCTGCAAGGAAGGTCAAAATGAATGCCTGCAAGTGTAGGGAAAGAGGGAAATGCTCCAATGCATATACCAATTATGCTGCTACTTCCTTTCTTCTGCATTTTTTTCTTATGTATCCGCAATTAATGTATGTAATATTAGAAACCTACTAATACATATGACAATTACAATAAACCAAACCAAAAAAACATACCAGAAACCTCCTAATGCGGATCGAGAAACTCATAAAGCAAACCACAACTATTTCTAAAACACAACAGAAACCTCCTAGTGCAGACCACAAACACGGTAAAACAATCCACAAAAAGCGTACCAGAAACCGCCCAATCCATACTACAAATCCCCTAAAACAAACCAAAAACCCCACAAAACATACCATAAATATTCCGAAAGCACACCAGAAACCTCATAATACAAACTACAAACACGATAAAGCAAACCACAAAGCTTCTAATGCAGACCAAAAATCTATTAAAACAAACCAAAAACCCCACAAATCAAACCATAAAATTTTCGAAAGCACACCATAAACTTGTTAATGCAAACCATAAACACAATAAAGCAAACTAGAAACGTCCTAATGCAGACCAAAATTCTACTAAAACAAACCAGAAACCCCGCAAAGCAAACCACAAAATTTTAAAAAACACACGAGAAACCTCCTAATGCAAACCACAAACACATTAAATCAAACCATAAAAACAAACCAGAAACGTTCTAATCCAGACCACAAATATATTAAAACAAACCAGAAATCCCGCAAAACAAACCACAAATTTTTTGAAAGCAAACCAGAAACTTCTCAATGCAAACCACAAACACGATAAAGCAAACCAGAAACTTCTCAATGCAAACCACAAACACGATAAAGCAAACCACAAAAGGTATAAAAAATTATGAGAAACCAAACCATAAATCTCACAATGCTAACCATAACATCCGGTGATCGTTGACCGTTGACCGGTCAACGAAGTTCGTTGACCGAACTCCGGTGACCGTCAGTGTGCAGATTCCGACGCCGATAGGCATATTCCGGCCCCGGTGACTAGATTCCGACGCCGGTAAGCATATTCCGGTCACAAAATAGCATATTCCGGTGACAAAAAGCATATTCCGGTGACCGGCGACCATTTTCCGGCGACCGGTGGCAGAATTCCGATGACCAAATTTTTGGGAAGAAACCAATCCTTCCAATCATTTTGAGTATTCAAGACCAAGAGCATCGATGTTATAGACTATGGTTATGTTCGTAGAAGTTCACAATTAATTATATGCTATCCTAACTTCTTTGTTTTTCATTGATTACGTAATATCATGAAGCGAAACACACATTAGCTAGTTAAATCTCTATTGCAAAAGGCACATGCACGGGTAGAGAGTAACCTTAAAGGAAGGAATATAGTGTTATAGTAGATGAACCATTGATGCATAATATGAATGATCCCTATTATGGATGATATTATTTGAGTTTCTTTCCCTACTACAATAACTTATATTGTTTTTTGGTAGAAAAAATATTTACTTTTATGCACCTATAAATCAAAAAATCCTTAAGCAACTTTACTCCTTTTGCTTTACTTATTTGCGAAATGAAGACCCCTAAACGTCTTTATGATTCTCGTGTATGTCACAGATGGTTGTTGTGAGTAGTTATTCATTAGAAGACGTCGCGAAATACGACCCTAGGGCCTTCTAGGACTTTATCACCTGATTTGACATGAATACTATTGGGTAACTTTTCTAGTTGCTTATAGTTATTTTTTAATTTATTTTTCATTTAAAAAATGTGAGTGGTTGATTTGAATTAATAAATTTTCATGTGGCAAGGTCCAAGGGTTGATTTCTTGCCACATCATAAAAATCATCCATCTCGCAAATAGGTTTACAACGTCAGAGTCAATTAATGTTTGACTGGATGGAAAGTTGACGGTTTAATAACTATATACCGTTTTAAAAAAGTATGGCTATTATTTTGTTTAAAATTAAAGTTTGATATCATATTGTTTTAATTCTAATATCATTCTAATTGTCCCCATAACTATTTTTTCCGTTGAATAAGGTGTGCCCATAACTAATTCATTCCTGCCTTCTTCTGTCATTTTAGAACACAAACAATACTTTTAGAACACATGTATGACTTTAACAATAAATATAAATACACTTGTGAGGTATCATATGCGTAAATATCTATGAGATGTATTTTGATATATATCAAAAAATAAGAACCATCAATTTTTATTTTTGATTAAGTTGAACTTACGATAAAGCGGGAGGTTTCACTGGCGCTTTATCGCCTGCTAATTCCTGTCCTGGGGGAGAGGACCATTCTCAAGAAAATTTCGTCCTCTCTAGGTTTAGAATATTAGAACCTAAGTTTCACCTATTAGAGGATGTAGTATAGTACTCCGGTTAATTCATGGTCTACATATCAAAACACGTTGGACGTGCGGCTAGGTAAGTACGTCTGACGTATGTTAGTCTGGACCATATTGAAAAGGCTAGCGTACACCTGACATATAATATACGTATGCGTTCAAGCCTTTTATATGTGATTTGATGTATATAGACAAATCATAACAAACAACTTTAATTTTGATTAACCTGATCTTATGGTACGGGTTGAGAGGATAAGGACCTATTAGTGAAGACAATTTAGTGGAGTGCAAAATTATCTCGTTTTATCTGGTCTAAATCGAGGCTGAACTTTTATTCGATAATTTCAACCCTCTTTCAATCTTCTAGACAGAAATATATAGAACATGAAAATAAAAGGATACAAAAGCATTAAACCCAATCCATTAAATATTGGGGCCAAATTTTATTGGCTGATTCAACCCTCTTTTTCTAATTTAATTTTCTTAATTGAGTCATATATTTTCATATTAATTCAGATTTTTTATTTATAAAAGAACACATTTACTATGAACTATACAATTATATTTATTTTGCTATAGTTTAACACACACAAAAAACCTTGACGATTGGACTGCTATGGAATAGGGATGGCAGGCCCGGGCCCGTTAGCGGATACCCGCCCGAGGCCCGCCCGTGAAGGGCCCAAGCGGGCTGCTAGCACAGGCCCGTCAACGGGTGGCGGGGAAACCGGGATCCGTCAACCCTGGTTTTCGGGTGGGGCTGGTTCGTCTACTATCCGCCCCGAAACCCGCCCGTCGGATTACCCGTGCACCAAAACGACGCCGTTTCGCCCTCCATATATATATTCCTGTTATGTGTTGAGAAACCCTAGCAGCCGCCCCTCATTCCTCATTTTGCAATTCGCAGACCAAAAGTACCAAACCCTAGTTTCCTTCTTTCTCTCTGCCTCTTCTTTGGCGAATCGCAAGATAATCGCGATTTTTTGCCTTTTCTCCTCTCCAAATCCTCAAATCTCTCCTAGTTTCACTACGATCTATCTTCGATTCCTCCATTCGACCAATTGCATGGCTGGAAGAGCAACGATCCGACGTCGATTTCGTCGAGCACAACCCAAAAATGAGTCGTTTGGAGTTCAAATCCCTGATTGTTCATCGATAACAGATAAGTTAATTCTGGATTTTTTCTTTTCTTTCGATTATCTTCGTTGTATCCTCAATCTACTGACTCTTGACACTCGTACTGCTATATATAGGGGGATTTCAGAGGTCATTCCACACTAGTCACCATCCTGACCTTCGCTAAATTTCTACCCAGAACACCCAGTCCACAGAGAGCAGAGACAGAGAGATTGCGACGAGCATCCAGAAAGAGTCCAAGTCTTTTTCTGGGTAAGGATCTTGAACTCACCGACTTTTCCTGGGTTTGTGGTGTTAATACAGACATGCATGCTTGTCTCCTGTTCTAACTTTTTTTTGTTCGTTGTTCACTCCTTTTTGGCCAGGTTGGACTCGTTTGAAGCTGTATTGAAGGACTGAACTCTGACGAGCAACTGAGCGAGTGATAGTGATCATTAGTGATCAGTCTACTGTCATTGGGTACTCGACAGTCCTCAGAAAAACAGAAAGACAAGGTAATCTCGTTCTCCTAAGTCCTAACCAGTAGGCAGTAACCATTGTGTTTTTTGTGTTGCTTTGACTTGTTGTGACTATGGCTTGCTAATGATAAGAACTTAGTTAGAAGACGTAAACTGTAATGGTTAAATTGTTGAAAATGGTGTCTTGTTTGCTGGTTAGAAGAAAAAATGTTGTCTTGTTGAAAATGGTGTCCATTTAAGTAAGAAAAATGTAAAATGAAAGGTCTAATCAGTTATATATAACTTGATTATGTTTAGATGGAAGGTGCTACTGCTAATGCTATGAATGTTGATCAACATGTCCCTGAAAATGGTGTCCAAGTCCAACCTGAAAAACCTGCTCCTGTTCCAAATAATCCGGTTAATGGTAATGAGGAAGAACTTGAAGCACAACGTAAGTTAACCTCTAATGTGTGGCCTCACTTCCACAGAGTTAGGATTAATGGGGTAATGAAAGTTAGGTGTAAGTACTGTCGTAAACCCCTTGGTGGGGAAACAAGTAATGGAACTTCACACCTGAGAAACCATATCAAAACATGTATCCAGAAGAGGATACATGATGGTTCTCAAAAAATACTTGGCCCCAACTATCAACCTGGTGGAAATCCTCAACTCTCTGCTTCTCAATACAATTATGAGGTTTCTAGGAAGGAACTTTGTTCTATGATTCTGGTCCATGAGTACCCCCTTAGCCTTGTTGATCATGTGGGTTTCAAACGTTTTTGCTGTTCTCTTCAACCTCAGTTTGCTGTCCCTAGTAGAAACACGGTGAAAAAGGATATTCTGGGTCTGTATGGGGTTGAGAGGTCTAAATATCAGACCATGATTGATGGAAATTTGGGCACAATTTCAGTCACTACTGATTTGTGGACTGCCACAAATCAGAAAATGGGGTATATGGCAGTAACTGGTCATTTTATTGACAACTCTTGGAAGCTTCGTAACATAATGTTGAGGTTTATGTATGTTCCAGCCCC